CTTCTAGGCTCAGTTTGGATATGAGACCCTCCAGGGAGCGTTTCTGGGCGTCTGTGCTGTAGTAGCAACTTGGACTTACTCCTTTCAAACCCCTCTCCACACCCTATTACATTCACTCCTCTGCCTTGGGGCTGCAAGGTCTGCGGGAAAGAGCCTCATCTCGAGTCCAGGCCCCGCACGGGGCTGGCAGGTGCTCCCTAAGCCAGATCAGTGGGAAGCCGCAGGGGGCAGGGCTCAGGCAATAGGAGAAAGAGCTTTGTAACTTCTTACACAGCAGAACACTTCCAAATGCTGCCTGCCCTCCCTCAGCCTGCAGCCGGGACGGGGCTGAAGGTGACCCCGAGGTTTCCAGCCCACGGCACATGCGTGCAGGACCCAGCGTCCTGGCTGTCCACGCCGAGCTCTCACGGCCCCTTGCTTCTTTCCCGCTTTTCCTATGTGCACTTCTCTGCGATCCAAGTCTATCCAAGGTGACAGTAACCGCTTCTGTCTGCCTGGTACCTCTTTCCGGGCCTTGATGGTCCCTTTAGGACACTACCCCTTATCCAGCTTCAGCACACGTGGTTTTGATGGCAGTGACCTCCCTTCCGTGCTCAGGAGTTAAATATAAGACAAGAGTCTCCAGTCCCTCTGGCCACCAGAGGGCTCTGGATAGACAAATGACCTGAGTCAGTCCTAAGAGACACCATCTTGAAATGAACTGGAACTTTCAGAGGAGAGATACTCCCTTTCCACTGGGGGTGTGTAAATCTAGAAGGGGACAGGGGGAACCAGGTGGGAGCAGCCCGAGGGCCCGCCTGACCGAACAGGCCACACAGAGGGCAGATCCCGGAGGCAGGGACTGAGAACAGAGGCAGAACCAGAGTCCTGCTGTCCTTGCTCCAGCCTCCGAGTCCAGCGGGCTCAAAGCTCCTAACTTTTTAATTCCATGAATCACACTTCTTTCCCTCCTCGTGCTCATGGCAGTTTGAAATAGATGTTTGTTAGCTGCAACGACACGTTCTACCCGACAGAGGCTGAGGAGTCCGCCTACTGCCGCGCCCACGGTTGGCGTGCCTGGTACTGAACCAGGGCGCGCTGGACATTCAGGCCACTGCTCCCGGAAGCCTGGTGCAGAAACAATTTGGAGACGTGGCGTTTCGTTTTCTGCTGTTTCGTGAACCCATGCAATTGCAGTGTCAACAACTAGGTGGATACACTCAGGACACAGCAGCTGCAAAGGTTAGTCCCTGGCTGTAGACAGCGCCACCACGGCGAGCTGGTCGCAGCCCGAGTGCCAGGCCTGACCACCGCGGGGACGACCCAGAAGGCTTTGGTCTGCCTCAGTGCCTTACTTATGTGAAGCCCGCTCGCCAGGTATCCGCTCTCACTGTGCCCCACAGGGTGAAGACACACTGTCGTCGCCACTTCCAAACTGCACCCAAAGGGAAGCACATGTCTCTTCAGCATCTACCGTTCACCCGTTTCTGTGTGCGCTCCCAATGCTGCCTTCTTTCACAGTAATGAAAAGAAAAAAATGTACAAAACAGTCCTTGTCCCCTCTAGGCTGCTCTCATACTTAGTCAACTCATCCATCCAAACGCCGATTCAGTATTGCTTTCCTTGCTCGTGAAGTTTTCTCATTCAGCTCAGCCAGTGTGACTCAGTGGGCGGAGTCGTCCCATGGACCGAGAGGTCCTGGTTCGATTCCCCATAAGGGCACGTGCCTGGGTTTCAGGCTCGGTCCCCAGCAGGGGGTGTGCAGGAGGCGGCTGATTTATATTCCTTTCTCACATCAATGTTTTGATCTCTCTCTCCCCTTCCTCTCTCTCTAAAAAAATTTAAAAAAATAAAATGGGCCCAGGCCAGTTTGGTAGTGGTGAGCGCGTCAGCCCGCAGACCAGAGAGACCCGGGTTCCATTCCTGCTAAGACACGTACCTCAGTTGCAGTTTGTCCCCGGCCCTGGTTGGGGTTGTGTGGGTGGCAACCACTCAATGTGTCTCTCTCACATCAATGTTTCTCTCTCTCTCTTCCTCCCTCTCCCTTCTGCTCTATCTGAAGATAAATGCAAAAATGTCTTCCAGTGAGGATGAAAGTAAATAGATAAATAAAATAAAATGGAATGTTTACTCCATTAAAAAAAACAAAACAAAAGGAGCCCGGGCCAGTTTGCTCAGTGGTTAGAGCGCCGACCTGCAGACTGAAGAGTTGTGGGTTCAATTCCCATCAAGGGCATGTACCTTGGTTGTGTTTCGGGCCCTGGCCCTGGTCAGGGTTGTACGGGAAGCAACCAATCAATGTGTCTCTCTCACATGGATGTTTCCCCCACCCCACTTCCTCCCACTCTGTCTGAAGATAAATGGAAAAATATCCTCAGGTGAAGATTAAAAAAAAAAAGTTTTCTCCTTCACACTCATGTTGGTACTGGCATTAGGAATTTGGTAAAAGTTCACAGGCCGAGTCTACTGGATGTTTAAAGCTCTGGTTACTTGAAACCAAGCTCTGAACATACAAACACATAAAACATAAAACAAGATAAAAACAGTTGTCACTTTCTAATGAGAAAAACGCATCTCGAACAGAAGGACCTGAGAGTCTCTTTAGTCTATTTCTCAGCCCCACTACGAGCAGCTCGAAGTCAACATGCCTGCCCGGCCAGAGACCTGTTCTGGGTATGCGGAGGGCCAAGGTGGGTCAATCAGAAGCAGTCCTGAGGTGTTTGCTAAAACTGCTTGGAACACGAACTTTTTTTTTTTTAACCTGGAACACAAACTTTTTAATGCTGAGGCTGCTAAAGGAGGGTCTCCCAGCCTGCAGCAGCTGTGGCCCCACCAAACTGCGTGGGGCCTGGGACAAACACCGCACAGCACCAAGCAGAGGCGGGGAGCCTGGGATGGACACCACACAGCGCCGAGCAGAGCTGATGGGGCCTGGGACGGACACCACACAGCACCGAGCAGAGCCGGGGAGCCTGGGACGGACACCACACAGCACCGAGCAGAGCTGAAGGGGCCTGGGACGGACACCGCACAGCACCGAGCAGAGCGGGGGGGCCTGGGACGGACACCGCACAGCAAGGAGCAGAGCCGAGGGGCCTGGGACGGACACCGCACAGTACCGAGCAGAGCCGGGGGGCCTGGGACGGACACCACACAGCACCGAGCAGAGCCCAAGGTGCCTGGGACGGACACCGCACAGCACCGAGCAGAGCTGGGAGGCCTGGGACGGACACCGCACAGCACTGAGCAGAGCTGAGAGACCTTTTATTACTTCCACGTGCTCAGTTAAACCCACTCAGCAGCCTCCAATTTACCAATGGGCTCCAAACACTTGTTTGCAATCCCTTTGTTCTGGAGGAGGAATTAGCGGTGAAGCTAGCGTTCTGAGGCTCACCCCGAAGCAGTATAACTCATCAGCTGGCTGGTCTGGAGCACGGACAGAGCTATGGTTATAGTTAGATGCTGGGGGAACCTGAGAGGAACCCTTCCCATCACCTTGTTCTGTCTGAGAGCAGACCTGAGGGCCCCTGATCAATCTGTCAGCAGCTTCTACCAGTCTTCAATCAGTCCCCATCACCTGCACTGCCACCTCACCCAAGCCACCACCACTTCCTTCTGTGACTAGTTCAGTCATCTCCTGGCTGGTCTCTCCACTCTGCTCCCGCTCCAGCTCAGTCTCTTTGCAGCACAGTGGTAAAGTAATCCTGAAGTCAGATCACAACATTCTTGTGTACCAAACCCTACTTATCTTAGAGCAAAAGGCAATGCGTTTACAGTGGCCCACAAGGCTATACTCAATCCAAATCCCCTCCTATTTATTTCTTTCCAATGCCCTCTCTTCTACCACTCTCCCCACATGCGCATGCTCCAGCCACATTGATTCCTTGCTATTCCTAGAACATGCCGGGTATACTCCTGCCTCAGGGCCTTTGCACATGCTGTTTCCGCTGCTTGGAACTTGCCCCAGATGGAGTGTATCTGAGCCCCTCCTCCTTTAGGTCTCTGCTCAAATATCACTTGCCAGTTGGCCTTTCCCTAACCACACTGAACACTCATCCCGGAGCCCCAGCACACTCCCCTCCCAGATTTTGTTTTCTCCATCCTGGGTATTATACATTTTACTCACTAGCTTTGCTTATTGGCTGTCTCCTTCACTAAAACGTAAGCTCCATGAGAGAAGGGATGTTTGTCTAGTTTGCTTGATTTTATATCTCCCGGATCTAGAAGTGTCTGGCACACAGCAGGGGCTCCAAGTGGACTGAATGAACAAGGAGGAGGGAGATGGGAACATGACACCTGTCCCTCACGGACGAGGCTTGTTAGAGAGAGGGCAGAAGCCTCCACATGCGTCTGAGAAGTGAAAGCAGCCAGGCCAACCAAGTGGGCCGCCGGCCTCACTCAGCGAAAACTGGCCAAGAGGGTCGCTGAGGAAATACTGAACTTCCAGGCAGAAGCTGCCAGCAGGCTTCCCACGGGAAGTAGAGAAAATGGGTTCAGGGCAATGGTAATATACAAGGGTGGCCTACCATCAGCCACTTTTATCATACATGCATTAAATGCCACATACTGTGTTAAATGTGTTCCTGTCACTGTGTTCAGCAACAAGCTACAGACATATTAAGGTAAAGCGTTCTTATGTGGATTTCACAAAGCGAGGCTCAGTCTCAGAGAACCTAGAAATGCTATGAAACTTACTAACTCATTTGGCAGCTTTACACACCAAAGCTCACAGTGGAAATGGGGTTGTATCCAGCAAGTAGCAGGACTGGGATTTGAACCTGGATCTCCCTGGTTCCCAAGCACAGGCCTGTTGGGCACTAGATCCCAGAAGCTCCTCATAAGTGCCTTGACCTCAATAGTGGCTCTATCCACCGGCTTCTTCCAGATACAAGTGGCTCTCCCTGGTGTTGACGTCCCATTCAGAGTGAAGGGCCACGGGCTTCTGCTCCCCACAGCCCTCTCCAGGGCAGCATGCTCCCAGCAGAACCCCCCTCACACACAGTGCTGCCCGGCTTACTCACCTCCAGTAAACTAGCACAGCAATGAGAAGGATGAGGCACACGAAGGTCAAGGCTGACACCACAATCAGAGGGATGATCCACTCCATCCTCCCTGGAGAAGGGCGGCTTATCATCCCAGAGGTGTTCTTTTCTGCTGGAAAGAGAAACCACGCCAGTTAGAGAACAGAGCCTGCAGAGGGGGAGCCAGTGGGACCCAGGGTTCTGCTCCGCTCTGACTGCCCGGCGACAGAGGGCTGATCAGCAGCCCACACCGTGTCCTGGAGTCCCAACCCAAGCTGGGTCTTCTGTGCCGGCTGCACTCTGCATCACTGAGGGATGCATTTGCAGGGAGTTCAAACGTCCGTAAAGAAAGCCGTCCAGCTTCGCTGCAAGGACCCTGCTGGCCAGAGCAGCCCGTGGGCACACCGAGGAACCGTGCTCCAGCCGAAGGCAGCACTACACTCCCACCCTGGGAAGGGCCTCTCGGGCTCGTCAGCACCAGGGCAGCACAAGGCAAGATGGGTTTGCTAAGTGAACGGGCTCTGAAGACAAGTTACGTATATTCTCTGCAAGCTCAGCACCCTTCCCCTGGTAACTGCATCCCAACGCTGCTTTGGGGACCTGCCTCTCCCTGACAGACAGTTATGGTGGGGCAGTCATCCAAAGGTGGGGCTCCCCAGTGCCCCAGACGAGGACATGTGGGGCTGCAGGGAGGACCTCAGCCGCCTCCCCGTCTGACCAGCTGCCCAGCCCAGCAGGAGCACCCGTGAGGCTGCCTGTCAGTTCTTAGCACCCAGATCCCTGGAGATCCTGTTTCTCCTCGAGTCTGGTTCTACTGCTCTACCTTTGATTTCATTACCCCCCACCCCAGCACCCTAAAAGCTCTATGACAACAGAACACAGGACACCACGCTTCACCCAGCACACGCCTGCCTCCCAGCAGCAGCCATTCGCGGGGTTAACAGGGAGCTGAACACCGGCTAGGATTCTCTCCGGCCCTCTGCTACCTCTTACCCGGCCAGCTCCTTCCCATGCCTCAGGCTGAGGTCTTCACAAGGCCCCAGGAGCCACCGGGGCGAGCCTGCTCTCTCTCTTAGTGTGGGGCAGATGCCTGGAAATTTCCAGGTGCCCCAACTCGAGCTCAGGTGTGGTGTGGGGTTGGGAAGAGCACAGGTGAGCAGAGGCAATCATGGGAAACAGGTGGGGAGAAAGCAAAGGTTAACTGTGACCACAGGGAGAAGCCCCTTGAAAAAGCCAAAGCTGGTGGCAGCCGCGGTGCGCTCAGCAAGGACACCTCCTGCTCGGCAGAAACGAGGCCAGCGTTCCGCCGCGCCAGTGTCTCTGGATGGACCGACTAGAGCGAGGGCTAAGCAGGCCGGTTCCGAGGGAGAGCAGGTGGGCTGAGCAGAAGAGTCGCTGGCCTCGAGAGCAGGGCTTTAAAGAGGCAAAGCTCCTGAGCAGGGAAGTGTGTCACGGAGCCTTTCACCGGGTTCCCTGGCAGGCAGCTTATCTTGGTCACCTTCTTTGTTTCATGCAGGGCCCTGTGAGGCAGGCAGGGCCAGATTCATCCCAGTCCCTAGGGAGGAAGACAGGCAGGCAGGTGCGCATGCCCAATGAAAAGCCACAACAGAGCACCTGACCTTCACACAGAGCCCTCCTGACAGTGGCAGCCCACCTCTGGAGCCACAGCCGCACAACTTGGTGTCAGACAGCTGCAGGCACACCCGGAGGTATCACGGTCCTGGTCCTGACCACTGCAGTAAAGCGAGCATCACTACAAAGCGAGGTGGAGGGTCTTGCCTTCAATTTGTAAAAAACACAACTCTGAGGCGCAATAAAGCGCATCACACACCATGAGGCCCGCCTGTACTCACCAAGCCCTACCGTGTGCCGTGCACGGTGCAATGGTCCGGGGCACACAGCAACAAGTTATTAGAGTAAAGGGAACTGGGGAGTGGCTGCCCTGCCCAGGGGCCCGCAGGGGGCTCCCTGACAGGGTGAGACCTCCAGGGCGAAGGGGTGTGAGCCACACCAAATGCAGGAAGGACCGTGTCCAGACAGGGAGCATAAGAACGAGCGGGGACCAAGCTGAGAGTCAGAGGCCACCTCAGCCAGGGCTTTGTGGACGGAATTAAGAACAAGTTTTAGTCCCAGGGGCAATGGAAGCTTCTGCAGGGTTGCAAACCGAGGCAGACAGGGATCAGATGCGCATTCTCTCCCTCGACATAAACCTGTAATAGCAAAGCTCTGGGGACCGGCCAGAAGACCCGAGTTGCACATGAGAATAATTTTTGCAGGGCTCCGGCAGTATCTCAAAGACCTGGAGCTCCTGCTAAAGGAAAATAGGACAGGAAGGCTGACGCTGTACATCATACATCGAATAAACTCAGAATCCAGGTCGGGGGGCCCTTGTGTCCTCGCAGGACTCCCAGCGGTACCTCTGTCCCCACCTCCTTGCCGAAGTGGATTCCTGCCTGGGTGTCCAGGGTAGACAGGTGGGGGAGGAGGCGGAAGGCAGACTCCATGTCCTACTCATCTTACCACTGAAAAGAACTCTTGGCCAAAACAGTCCCTTCACACTGATCTCCACAGTCACTGGAAACAGCAGCTCCGTGGGGTTTCTGCCGCCCTAGAACCAGTCCATGTGGCCATCTCTGGGCCTTAGAGGGGCTTTAGTTGTGAGGGTAAATGGCACTTTGCATTGTCCCTGAAACCCCGATACACCTGCGATCATGTCTGTCCCCATCCCCCACAAGGTGAGGGTTACAGCCTTCACCAGATGCTCAATTTGCATGTAAGACTGAACCATCAGTGTGGACTCCCTGTCAGGAGAGAAGAAAGGTCTACAGAGGGCAAGGGTCTGGGTGAAGTCACAGCCAGCCTGCAGCGGGCAGGGCTCCAGCTCAGGTGTCACACCGAGTCATTTCTCTTTCTAAAGCTCCCAGGTGCTCGCGTGAGAAGCGGGGGAGGGGAGACCCAAAATGGCGGCGGAGTGAACGGAGCTGCACAGACCGTCTCCCAGAACCAAACTGGAATTACAACTATAACACAGACAAATCGACGGGAAAAACCAACAGAAAAGCAGCTTGCGAGGACCATATAACCAGGGACACTGACTCGATCCTGGTAGGCTTGCGAAGGTATGAGACGGGGGCTGGGAGCCCGGTCAGCAGCTCGGCAGCGGCCTCAGCTGGGAGCAGCGCCCTCGGGTCACCCTCCCAGGCGGCCCCACAGCGCAGCCGGGACAGAGGCTGAAACAGCCACAGCCACTCAACTTGGGCTCCGGCAGAGGGAGGGCAGACTGGGCTGGAACTGTGAGGGGACACTGGGGATTTGGAGGGCGCTCAGAACTCTTGCTGAGTTGCTGCCACACAGGACGGTGGCCATATTGCTCCTTCCCAGGGCTCTGGGGAGAGGCAGCAGCCCCTCCCTGTGAGATCCAACCCCACCCTGTGGGCCATTGAAGTGCTAATTGAGACTTATTAACAACCAGCATCTGCCCCACCCTTGGGAAATCCCCTGAAGCTGAGCACCTGAGGGAGTTTTTCAGTCAACTGACAAACTAAAACTCTTCAAGTAACCTCGACTGCTAGCCTCCAGGCAAAAAGCTAGAGGATAACAGTATCTTTCTTGGTTAACAATTCTAACCAGGAAAGTAAGACTTGTCAGTGGTGTTTAACATGGGTTCTCCCTCGCTCATCTAAACCCAGAAGAGGGAGCCACAGATAGCAGAACACCAACACCCACAGGGAAAACTTGAAAGGCTCCAAAGCCCACTGTGATAGCCAAAATGGTGAAACACAGAAACAGAAGCCAAATGAAAGAACAAGAGACCTCTACCAAAGATGAGATCAATGTGGAGCAGTTGGGCAAGTTAACAGAGCTAAAATTCAGAGCCATGATCTTGAGGAAGCTCAACAGCATGAGTAAAGACATAGAGATGCTGAAAATAAACCAAATGGAAATTAAAAACCACCAAGAAGAGATAAAAAATGACATATCTGAAATGAAAAACACATTGGAAGGTCTAAAAAGCAGAGTAGAGGAAGCTGAGGACCGGATCAGTGAATTAGAAGACAGGGTAGAAAAAATCAACCAATCAGAAAACCAAAAGGAAAAAATGATTAAAAAACAGAAAGACAGCTTAAGAGAACTGTGGGACAACTGGAAACATAATAATATTCGCATCATAGGAGTCCCCGAAGAAGAAAATGAGCAAGGGTTAGAGAGTATATTCAAAGAAATAGTGACAGAAAACTTCCCTAATTTGGTGAAGGAAGAAGGCATTCAAGTTCAAGAAGCACAGAGAGCCCCAAGTAAGAAGAACCCAAATAGGCCCAACCAAGACACACAGTAATCAAACTGCCAAAAATTAAAGACAAAGAGAGAATCCTAAAAGCAGCAAGAGATAAGCAACAGGTTACCTACAAAGGAACCCCCATAAGGCTATCAGTTGACTTCTCAACAGAAACACTACAGGCCAGAAGGGAATGGCACAAAGTAATCAAGGTCATGAAAAACAAGGATCTGAATCCAAGACTACTCTATCCAGCAAGGCTGTAATTCAAAATAGAAGGTCAAATAAAGAGCTTCCCAGACAAAAAAAGGCTAAGGGAATACATTAGCACAAAACCAGCACTGCAAGAAATGTTAAAAGGACTACTGTAATCAGTAGAGGAAATAGGAAGAAAAATATAACCACACTAAACAAAAATGGCAATAAACAAGTACATATCAATAATCACTTTAAATGCAAATTGACTGAATGCTCTGATAAAAAGACACAGAGTAGCTGATTGGATAAGAAAGCATGACTCATTTATATATTGTTTACAAGAGACCCACCTCACAACAAAGGACTCACATAGATTGAAAGTGAAGAGATGGAAAAAAATTTTCCAAGCAAATGGAAAGCAAAAAAAAAAGCTGGGGTAGCAATACTCATATCTGATAAAATAGATTTCAAAATTAAGGCCATAACTAGAGACAAAGAAGGCCACTACATAATATTGAAAGGATCTATCCAACAGGAAGCTATAACCTTGATAAACATATATGCACCCAATATGGGAGCACCAAAATATATTAAAAAAATCTTCTGGAGGACTTCCACGGAGAAATCGACAGCAATACAATCATAGCAGGGGATTT